ATTGAGTAACGACATACGTATCGTGAAAAAGTGTTACGTGTAGCGACATAAGTATCGCGAAAGATTGTTTTTTTAAATCGCTAGAGCAGCGTAATTTTTTCATGTCACAAAACGAAAACATCGATTCGTCGATTGAATTTTTATCGGAGCAATTATCGAGCTTGGGATTAAAAAGCGTCGAAATGGAAGCTCTAACTGACCAAATTAAGATTTTACAAGATCAAATCGCGACGATCAACTCGCAATTGACGGCATTGGGCCAGTCAACGAAAGTCGAGGAGTACCAAGAAGTGAAAGTGGCGGTGAACGATGTGAAAGATATTTCGCTGGAAATGTTTAAAACGCTACCAGAATTCAGCGGGGATCGCAATAAATATTCTGCGTGGAGGAATTCGGCGATGAATGTGATGAAAATCTTTGACGGCCATACGCAAACATCAAAATATTTCGAAGCGTTAAATATTGTGCGCAACAAAATTACCGGAACTGCTTCCGAGGCATTGACCAATTACAATACGGTCTTCAATCTTGATGCAATACTTGCCCGACTGGATTTCACATATGCCGATAAGCGTCCGATTTACATCATCGAGCAAGAAATGATCGTGCTCCAGCAAAAGAACTTGTCGATCGAAGATTTCTACGACGAGGTGAACAAAAAGTTGAATGCATTGATCAACAAAATTAACATGACGCACAAGGAAAAGGGCATAGCCAAAGCAATGGTATATGACGCATCAGACAAAGCATTGCGTACATTTATCACCGGTTTGACGGGCAATCTCGGACAAATTTTGTATGCATCCAATCCATCGACATTACCAGAAGCGTACGCCAAGTTGCAAACAATTGTGAATGATCAAGAGCGAATTAAATTTGCAAATCAATTCAACCAACCACGCTTCAACAAACAAGAGCCGTCTCGTTTGAATCCGAACTTTGCACCGAAAACAAAAAAAATCCAAGTACCGCTACAACAACAACAACAGTTCATTAGACAATTTCCGAAGCCTCAACCAATGGACATCGATCGTTCGTCGATGAACGTGAACGTTGGGTCACCAGAAAAAAGGCCACGATCCGATGAATTTTCAAACAAAGTGGGCAACACGAAAAAATTCCAGCGTGTCAACGAAATGCAAGCTACAACTGAAGACGGTGAAGAGCTCAACGGAGTCGAAGACAACGGCGAAATTCCAGAGGATGCCATCGAGGAGACTGTTGATGATGAAGTCTCGTCTGTTTTTTTATGCGATTGAACGGGCTGCCGTACATTGATCGAAATCACAAGGGTCAAAAGGTAAAAATTTTGATTGATACGGGGGCCTCAGGCAATTATGCAACATTGAAAAAATTTCCGGAAGCTCAAGAAATAAAATTAAATAAAAAAATATTAATGAAAACAATACATAATCAAGAAAGATTGACGTCGTATATTGGAGTAAATTTGTTATCGGAACAACACATATTCTTAGTGGCACCCGACTTGGGTGAATGGGACATGATTTTGGGAATAAGAGGTCTGAGAAAAATTGATGCGATAATTAATACAAAAACATTTGAATTAAAATACACAAAAAAACCGCATGTAACAGTTGAGCCAATTGAATCGCTAAATTACAAAATTAACGAAGAAATAGAGTCTGATTATAAAAACGTGATTCAAAAAGTAATGAAAAAAAATAATGTAAATGAAACGCTCCCATGCAATACGAAAGTTTTATCCACAATTCGAACCACAGATAATGAACCCATTTGGTCTAAACAATATCCGTATCCAATGACATCTGCAAATTTTGTTAATTCGGAAGTAGATAAATTGTTAAATTCAGGAATAATCCGACAGAGTCAAAGTCCATACAACTCGCCGATTTGGGTTGTGCCGAAAAAGGGACTTAATCCCGATGGAACTCAGAAACAGCGTTTGGTCATTGACTTCAAGAAACTCAATAGCAAGACAATTTTTCACAGATATCCCATGCCAGATATTAATATGATTTTGAGCAATTTAGGGAATTCAAGGTATTTCAGCACAATAGATTTAGAGTCTGGTTTTCATCAAATCAAAATTAAGGAATCTGATTAGGAAAAAACCGCATTTTCTGTGAATGGTGCTAAGTACGAATTTAACTGAATGCCATTCGGGCTGAAAAATGCACCGAGCATATTTCAGCGTGCGTTAGACGACATACTTGGATCGTACATAGGAAAATTTGCATACGTTTATAATATGATGTGTTGGTATTCTCAAAAACAAAAGAGGACCATGCAGAACACTTGCACACAATCACAGAAACACTTTATTCGGCTAATATGAAAATATCAGATGAAAAAAGTAAATTTTTCGTGCAGAAAGTGGAATATTTGGGGCATATAATTTCAAACGGTAGAATTAGAGTAGATCCGAAAAAGGTAGAAACAATAGAAAATTATCCCGAACATTGAAGCAGTTGAGATCTTTTTTGGGACTTTGGGGCTATTATCGTAAATTCATTAAAAATTATGCAAGAATCTGTAAACCAATGACTTTATATTTGAGTGGTCGGGAATAAAAATGACTAAAGTTAAACCACTTATGGATAACCGTAACACAACATTCTTGATTTTTAAAAGTGCAACATAAATTCTGTTCGCTTGAAAGTGAATCGTAAAATATCTGTCGCATGAAATACTGTTCCAGAATCGAAAAAAAAATTTTAACTTTTTTTTTCGATTTTTGCCTGTTTCCGATCGTCTACATGGGAAGTTTGTATGAAAACCTCGGAGCGCCGGTGTTTTACCCGTATTGTTATACACATCAACAAAGCAGTCTGCTTCACAGTAGAAAAGAAGTGCGCAGTGACGAACAAGAACGTTCAGGTTTCGGCAATGTTGCATTATAGCGATTATGAATGAACGTAATGAGAAATGTAGCGAGAAATTACGTTCATTAATAATCACTAGTGAAGCCACGTTGCCAAAACATGTACGTTCTTGTTTCCTTACTGCGCACTTCTTTTCTACGGTGAAGCAGATTGCTTTGTTGATGTGTATCGACGATTCCACACAAAGCGGGACAAAATTTGCAAGTGACCTCCCTGAGTGATTTCACTCAAACTTGGTATATAAACTTCTTATGGGCAAAAACTCGCAAAGCCAAAAAATTAGGGTGACCTTCTCCACCTGATTAAAAATTAGGGTGACCCAAACATTGAAAAAAAACGAAAAATGGCACTTTTATCATATTTTAAGACTTGAAAACTGTGGTACAAACTTTCGAAACTATGTACATGGTTGGATAGATAATCGATGGGGCTACAAAAAAGTCCACTACGACCACCCCATCCGGGCCCATTCAGGCCCTGAAAAGTGGGTTCAAAGTATAAAATGTGAAAAAAGTCAATTAGACGTGGTTTTATTTTTTCGATTTTTTGGGCTTAAATGGTAGGCAACCTCGAAATCTAAAACATGGTGAATCCGAATCTCTACTTGCACTTTCTAAAAATGTAAAAAAATATTTTATGTAATTTTGATCTCACCATTTTCACAGGGTTTTTGGCTATATAATTTTTTTACACACCGAATAGGTGGTCTGACGATGGTGGTGTGTTCTGATGAAATGCCCAGCAGACTCCAACGAATCGAATAATACCATTGGTTGGGGCCGCTCTCTCCTTTGGAGGGACAGGGGAGGCTCAAAAAGTCGAAAAAATAACAAAAAATCACTATTTTAGGGCAAAAACAGGGAAGAAACCCGCCTTTGGCCCCAAACACTATAATATTCGGAAAACTCGTAAAAAATCCTACGTACGCGTAGAACATTTTAACTTGATCAAACCCTTCCTTCTGCCTCAAATCGGGGTCGGTAGTTTGAAAAATCGTGTTTCTGCAAGTATGCGACCATTTTTAACTGCTTCAAAGGCACTAGCACTGATGCGATGTGTTCCTTAAATGTAGCGCTTGATGTCTAATTCCTTGTAGCATATAACACGTGTCACTTATATGGCTCAAATTTGGCATTGGGGAGGATAATATTGAAGAAAAAGGTGAAAAAATCGCACAATCACACCACAATTGCCGAAATCAAGGCAGTGGACCTGATTTTTGGCCAAAAATGATTGCATTTTCGAATTCCCTGTCGAAAATTAGCTTAAGCATGGCTGGTTTACATTTTTTTAAAGCTTATCTTCAATTTAAAAAAAGCTCGAATGGTTGAATGTTCAAATATACTAAAATGGACTGTGAGTACTTGAATGGAGTTTTTAATTGGCAACATCAATCTGAGTATCATTTGAAGTCTTGATTCAATTTTGAATAGACCATTCGCTTAAATGAATTGGAAGAGGATTGTGCCACAAGGTTGCTGCAACAGCAATATACCACATGCGATCCTGGTGGCTACGATTGTAATGTGTTGAAAAATACATTGTAACACATAGGATTTTACTATCGGTGCCACAAGGTGTCGCTAGTGGTAATGCTCTTGCAGCAACGGTGTGGATTGTGCTATTTTTCGGCTCAATCAATGGCCCAAAAAAACGTAAAATTTAATAAATTTACGCACGCAATCATCTAAACTGTTCGCAAAGATCGCTTCAGATTCCTATATGTACGATGAAAGTCTCATATCAAAGTGATATTACGCCACTATAATTCATCGCAACGCAAGTTTTTCTTCTAAATTCAAAAATAATGATTATTGTGTAATCCTTTTATTTATCGATTGAATACATGAGTTTCATTTTAGATAATTTTGTGGAATGAACAAACATAGTCAACAAATTTCAAAACCAAACGACAAACAGATATGTCGGTTGAACACAAAATTATGAAAAAAAACACTTCGAATTTCAATTCTCTACTTTTATTTGAAAACATTTGTTAATTGTTGTGTAAAACATTGTTTACATTGTCATTACAAAGTCAGTTCACAAGTGAGAATTATCTGATATCTTACTTATGTACAGAGGACATTTTGGTTTGGGAAAACTTCTGGGGAAAAAACCCATCCAATAAGACATTCACATAACAAAGAGAACATCATCTGCAATACCACAGTGGTCGTCCCTGTTTCGAGCTAATCTCATATACCCATCTTCGCCCCAACTTGTGCCCCAACTGTTTTTTACTATCCAATAATCTCCGTACTTCTCATCACGGCCATATCCAACGATGAGTACTGAATGCAAATTCCCGTTCCCGCATTTCTCATCGTAATATACACCTTCTTTGTACAACTCGAACGATCGTTCAGGAGCATTTATGCCAGCAATCAATGGTCCATTCAAATATAGTACTTCTTTTAATGCTTCTTCATTTTTAACAACTCTTCTAATATCGTTAATTGGATGCAATTTTTTGCGTTCTACGCTTTCGTTGCATCTACCGCTCTTGGCAGTATATCTATAACTGTCCGTTTTACATATGCCATTTTTTTGTACGTACTTCAATCCCCGTACTGGATTATTGCCTGTTTGACATTTGTCTTCTACTTTTGCTGATTTTTCACTATAGTCGGAACAATCGACTAGGAATTGTTGCGATAGTCGTACCAAATTTCCAGTTTTAATTTTATAAAAGGCTTCCAATGCCCCCGTGATAGCGAATGCCCAGCATGATGAACAGTTCCCTTGGGTTCCCACTTCTGTTACAGCACCACGCTTTCTCCAGTCAAAGGATGCGGGTACTTCTTCCAATCCATTTGGTACACATTGTTTGATGTTCTTTGCCAAAGATCTGAATCTGCAACGGTAAAATATTCGCATAATTTTTTGTCATCTTTGATGAAAATACAAGATTTTTTTACATACTCGTTCATTATATTCTTAGATTTGGATGTCAGAGCTAAGAGTTTTCTGGCTGCGACATTCACCTTCATTTTGAATGAAGTCTTTCCTTTCTCAAAATCAGCGTTATGCTTTTGGACAATTTTCAATTGTTCTTCTTCTATGATATCCTATTTCGCGGAAGTTAAGTGGTAAAATGTAAGAATTGTGCTTATTTCGAAATGACCTTTTGAAGGGCCCTTAAATAATTTCTATTTTTGCCTTATTGTAATTTCTTCATTTTTTCTTTACTAGAAGTTTGTATTTCCTCATATCTAGAAAATGGTCAGTGATTTCGATCGTGCACCCAGGAAATAGAACATTTATGGGCATTTCTTGAAAGAATAAAGTGTAATCTTACGTCTCCATTTGCGTTTGTGGTTTTGATCACAATTACCAAAGCAAAGAAAAATATCAATAATTTCGCCATCCTGTTAAAAATGAGAAAAAAGTTAAAAATGAAATAAAATAATCATGGATTAAGTTTGACTTCTATCTAAAAAAAATTGTACTTTTGCTCTTGAAAGTTTTTTTTTGAGTGAAGTGGCGAGTTTTCTTGTTCCAACTTAACGGCAAATACGTTTGATTCAAAGATGAACATAGTTTTAGTATTGTTTTTATGAAACATATTAGAGTTAAAAGAAAACTTGCCAATACAAAAATGTTTGGTTCAATTGAAAATAATTGAAATGGAAAATATCTGTTTTACCTTTGTAAATGAATTTCCAACTCGATACTGAACAATTTCTGTACCTCAATATGCGTTCTTATTTAATTCGCGTGATGTTTGTTCATTATCAGAAAAGCTCACTGTTTGTATGAAATGTAAATAAAAAATTACACGAGAACTACCTAGGGGCATTTCTCACGAAAAGAATGAATGAATTCCTCTAAATTTTGAAAAATTTCTTCCGTTCGGTCCGATTCGATCAATTTTTATCTATTCGTGTAAATAAATGTTCATTTACACTGAACTTGTGTTCTGGAAGTGGGTTTTGGTGGATCTCAAGGATTGTTCAGAACTGCTCCCGGTTCTGGAAGTGGATCTTTAGGATGGGCCAGGGCATTGTCAAACCGGATCTGGTCCATCCTGAGGATCTACCAAAACCCACTTCCAGAATCGGGAGCAGTTCTGAACGATCCTTGAGATCCACTGAAACCTACTTCCAGAACACTTTTATTCAAGCAATATCGTCATTTCAGTACATTTTCTTACAATTTCAATAAAAAAGAAGAAATAATAGACATTTTTGCACATTTGCTCAAATTTTGTGTGTGAGAAATGCCCCTAGAGAACCACACATTCCGTGATCAAACATCATGTACTGGAAGGGGATTCTAAAATAGATCCGTTTCATAGCACAGTGACCTATTTTCGGAATTTTCCATTCACCGGAAAACTATTCGTTTTCATTGGACCAAAAAACAGTCCGAATTTGTTGCCACACCTTGCTCGAAAAATGAAATAACATGTGTTTTGAGACATGACTTCATCACAGTCATCACCACAGTCACTGAAGTCATCACAGGAATACATGAGGCATTAAATATAGTTCTCAATTGACGTCAATAGAAAATTCTAAAATTCCAGTCTGGAATATTCCCTTCATTATATAGGTATATATGACAATTTTATAATGATTTCGAGTTGATCACAAGCTGGAGTAAAGTTTTAAACTTGTTGCAGGTGACTGTTATTCAAACATCTCGTGCCAATATGTATTCCTTTAAAAATATTTTCTTCTTCTAATTTTTTTGCTTTGTTCTTGTATGCGAGGTATGTGTGACTTGAGATGATGAATGTTTTGTCTTCTTGTTATCATCACAACAGTTACATACCAGTTTTAAAGAATTTTTGCTCTATATACATATTTATCTATTTTGTCTATTTTGTTTTTTTTGAAACGAATTTGTGACGCATCCCGTGTGCAAATAAAATGACTAACAGTCACTCAGTTGTATGTAGCTGTATGTAGTGATACACAACTAAAACTGGCTAAGTTGATTGAAATTATGCGTTTTGTATGGAGATAATCACGTTTAGTTATTCTTTCAGTCAGTCGACAAATTTGGGACATTTTGACTAAGAATGATTTGTGATTAAAGTTAACTGCAGTTGCTTATTTTGTTCGAAACAATCACTTTTAGTCAGTCAAAATGTCCCAAATTAATCGACTAACTAGTCAGTCAAAAATTTTCCGCACGGGATATCATTATCCGTTGAGTTTATGTGTTTTGAGATTGGGCAGCGCAGGCCCCCTCGATCGGCAGGAAGCGTCCATTTATGAAAGACGATTTGTCGCTAAGCAAGAACAGAATTGGGTCGGTGATCTCCTGATTATTTGGGCGGCTTTCTATGAAGCCATGCGTATGTCTATGACCAGTTTTTCGAGTTGACTCTATTTTCTGGGTGCAGTTGTCTCCTAAGACCCACTGCCGGTGCTCAGCACCACCAAAGCCTTGCCGAGCATCACCAAATTTTTTTTAAAACATTTGTTCAGCTCCTTTTTGAAAAAATGGGTTATTACAAAAGCATACTAAAACGTAACAAATTCGTACTAAATATATACAAATTTTAACAATTTCTTACTAAATAATTACTAATTTCATACTAAAAAATACAAAATACATACCAAAAACCAACCAAATTCGTACTAATCCAAATGCCAAATCTTTACCAAAATATGACAATTTCAAACCAAAAATATACAAAACCTTGGTAAGGTACCAAAAAAATTAAATAGAAATTGAATAAACATTGCAATGGAATGCGAATACAAATTGAATGAAACAATTTATGCGGACAAAATGTGTGTGCAACCCAATAAATTGCTGTTTATTCGCTGTATATCTATTTGTTCAGTAAATTGAAGTTATTTAATTGAATTCTTAAGAAGATCGAATTCGTTTGCGAAAGAGAATAAATAAACAAAAAGTACCATTTATAACAACGATTGTGGAAAAAAAGGGAGAGAGAAATTGGATTTTCAATTAATTTATTTAATTTCGTTCAAGAACAACTTAATTTGAATTTATGCCAAATGTGAATCATTGCAATGTTTTCAATTGTCATGTCGCGGTTCGCGACGTTGTTCCAAGAATCAGCCAACTGATGGCAGTTGGTTTTCCATCAAGGACGCTGGAAACGAGATCTTTGGGTGCGTTAGATCCCCGTTGATAACATCACTGATCATTACTTTTTCACAGGAGTGTAACCCGTTTGCGACGGCAATATTAATGCTTGAAATAATTAAATTGAAACATTGCATTGATTTTTTTTCTAAATTGTATTGATTTTCAATTCATTTATTTGATTTCGTTAAATTTAACAATTTCCATATTTTTATTCACGCATTAATGCTTTCGATGAATTGGTGGGTCGTCCCGCTTGTCTTCTGGGTGCTAGTAGCACTGGATTGGCATTTTGAGGACAATCGATCACATTGTCACGCATTGCAATGGCAAGTATGTGTTTGCACGTGCGCTGTTTGAAATGAACAGGGCCGCTTTTGCGGTTTTTTCCACGATTACACGAGTGTATGGCAGTTAATTGGTATTGTTAGTGGCTGAATCTGTAGCGAATCACATTATCTTTGATTTGTCCAGAGGAATTGTCGATACCTTGATTTGTTGAAGAGTTGGACCGCAAAATCAAAATCCCTTGTAGATAACTACTTTTCGGCATCTTTAGAAATAATATTTTTGCCAATGGTCCAAATTGTGATTTGAGAGATTGCCCATGGACATCTATGACAAAAACACATACCCAAAATAATGAATATTGAATAATGATTTCGTCATCGACTGAATCCATTAATCTCATATTCAGCGAATTTCAGAACAAAGCAACAAATAGATGTGGCGGTTGAACACAAAATTATATAAAGAACAAAAAAACACTATGGATTTAAACTCAACTTTTATTTAAAATCGTTTGTTAATTTTGCATTCCCATAAATCCAGTTCACAAGAGAGAATGGTCTTGAATTTGTCTATCTAACTGTTTACAGAGGTAAATTTGGTGGAAAAACTACCAGAAAAACTCATCGAACAAGACACTCATTTAACCAAGTAAACTGTAAATGAAATGCCACAATGGCTGTCTCTATTTCGAGCTAATTTCATATACCCATCTTCGCCCCAATCTCGGCCCCAACTGTTTTTTATTATCCAATAATCTCCCTGCAGTTTATCATGGCCATATCCAACGATGAGTACTGTATGCATTCTTCCTTCCCAACAGTTCTCTTCGTAGTATACGCCTCCTTCGTACAATTCGAACGAATTTTCAAGAGCATACACGCCAGCAACCAATGGTCCATTCGAATATAGTGCTTCTTTCATTGTTTCTTCATCATTTTTAACCTGCTTAATATCTTTGATTGCATAAAATTTGGTGCGTTCTATGCTTTTGTCGCATTTACCGCTCTTGGCAGTGTATGGATAACTATCCGCTAGACATATGCCGTTTTTTCGTACAAACTCCAATCCCAATTGTGGAAAATTGCCTGTTCTACATTTATCTTCTTCTTTTTTTGCGATTTGGGCATAGTCGGAACAATCGAGTAGGTACTGTTGCGATAGTCGAACCAAATTTCCAGTTTTAATTTTATAAAATGCTTCCAATGCCCCCGCGACGGCGAATGTCCAGCATGATGAACAGTTCCCTTGGAGTCCAACTTCTGTTACAGCACCATGCTCTCTCCAGTCAAAGGATGCGGGTGCTTTCCGGAATTTTTCCATCACAAACTGTTTGGTATTTGTCGACAGATATCTGCAACGATAAAATATTCGCATAATTGTTTTGTCATCCTTGGTGAAAATACAAGATTTTTTTACATACTCGTTCATTATATGCTTAGGTTTGTATAATAGAGCTAAGAGTTTCCTGGCTGCGGGGTTCACCTTCATTTTGAATGAAGTCTTTCCTTTCTTAAATGCTGCGTTATGCTTTTGGACAATTTTCAATAGTTCTTTTACAGCTTTGCTGTCCTATTTTGCGGAATATATAAAAATTGTGCTTATTCTGAAATGACCTTTAAATAATTTCTATTTTTGGCTCTATTCATTGAGCGGTCCAATTCAATCGTGCAGCATTTTCCCCGTACATAGAGTTCGACAATTTTTCGCATGGAGAAAATCGTTGACGATTGCAGACGGCCGCCCAGAAAAAACAAAATATTAATGGACATTTCTTGAGAAAGAAAATGGATTAATCCAAGTCATATTTTTTGGATAATTTATGAAATCTTACGTCTCCATCTGTGTATGTGGTGTTGATCACAATCATCAAAGCAAAGAATAATATCAATAATTTCGCCATACTGTTTAAAACGAGAAGAAAAAATCATAAGATAAATTTAGTTCTAAAACTTCTGTGAGCTATACTCATGAATGAGCAACATTTGACTCGTGTTTTAGATTTTTCGTTCTTTTGCTATTGAATGTTTTTTCGAGCAAAGTGGCCAACTTAACAGTCAATATGTTTGGTTCAAAGATTGACAAAGATTTATTTTTTCTATGAAACATATTAGAGTTGATGAAAATATTTCTGATAGTTTATAAAATTGATTGAATCGAAGAAGTTAGTTAATAGTTTCACATAGCTTTGGAAGATTAAAATACTTTTTTTTGCATAAAGAAATGAACTCACTTAGAAAAATTAGAAAGACGACAACTTGTATACAAATATGAAGACAAATGAAAGAAGACTCGTCAATAAAAAAAATATTCGATTCAATATGCAATATGGAATATATGAAATAGAAAATATCTTCTACGGAACCTTTGTAAATGAATTTCCAATTCGATACTGAACAATTTCTATACCTTGATATGTGTTTTCATCAAATTCTACTGTTCGCAAGAATTCGGCAATGCAAATTAAATTGAATGATATTTAAATGTAAGTTATAAAATGTAAATGCAATTCAGAGAATTATTGTTCATCAAGCAACAGCGTGTGTCAAGTAATTCCAACACATTCATCAATATGTCTTGAAAATGAGAATGTACATATGTCAGTCCTTGAAAATACGTTCTGACTTTTTGAACACATCATCTATCTAGTCATCTATCAAATGGTCTCCGTAGAAGGGGATTCTATTCAGAGCACTCAGAGCACAGTGTCCATTTTTCGGCATCTTCCATTTACCGAAAAAAAGTTTGTTTTTGTTGTACCTAAAAAAACAAATAAACTGCATTTTGTTGCCCCACTTCGTATACCTTAACTGTGAATAATAATAGAATAACAGGTTTTTTGAGACATAATGTAAAGGTCACAATATCGTATGGATTACCCAAATATAGTTCTCAATCGACTTCAATAACAAATTCCAAAATTCAAAATTCCAAAATAGGAAAATTCAACTTGCCACAGGTGACAGTTGTCCAAACATCTCGTGCTAATATTTACGTCAATTTATAAATTTTTCCTAATGTTGTTTGTTTTCCCGTGTGGAAAATTTTTGACTGACTAGTTAGTCGATTAATTTGGGACATTTTGACTGACTAAAAGTGATTGTCTCGAACAAAATAAGCAACTGCAGTTAACTTTAATCACAAATCACTCTTAGTCAAAATGTCACAAATTAGTCGACTGACTGAAAGTATAACTGAACGTGATTGTCAATACAAAACGCATGTTTTCAATCAACTTAGCCAGTTTTAGTTGTGTATCACCACATACAGTTATATACAACTGAGTGACTGTTAGTCATTTTATTTGCACACGGAATTGTTCTTGTATTCTTGAGATGATGAATGTTTCGTACTTTTGTTATCAACACAATGATCACATCAGAGAAAACATTTTAACTTGATTGCCATCAACAAAGGGGAATTGACTAAATAGAGCAAATCTGTTGCGGCATCATGTCAAAATAGACAGTTTCTTAAAAAAAATTCCCGTATGCAACAAATTGGCTTTGTATTGGAATTATTCCAATGTAGAGAATGTTCTCGAGTATATCTTGAAATAATTTATTTATTTCGACCGATAAACGGTAACTATCTTCTATAAAGTTGTATAGCTTGACAAGACCAACAATTTTTGCGAAGATCCCAGTTTATGGCAGATAGCTGAGGATATATGCTGAGCATAGAAATTCAGAAAACTGAGATGGGGAGGTTTTTTATTTCTCCAGGACTCAACATCATTGAAACGACATCCGTATTGCGAAAAAAATAGAGTGTAAATCTAAATTGTAAATTAAAAAATATTGAAGTAGACCAAGGAAACTCGTGCGGTACTTTTCATTGAAAAAAAGTCTAAAATGGAATGAAAAAACTTGGTTTACACTAAAAAATCAGTTTGTATGAAATTTATTGGAGGCTTACAGTCAAACTTTTGTCTGCTGTTGTCTTGGTTATAAATACTTAAATGACTAGAAAAAAAGAGTCGTGTCTAAACGCATTTCGACATCGAGTGACGAATAGATGGGAATATTCCTGAAATGTTCTCAACTGACATTCGGCAACACTGTAAGCATATCTGAATTTTACATACACAGGGTTATCTAACAATTAGTTATCTATGCTCAAAGTCATCAATATGACCGAATGGCTACGTTTTCTTTTCTGTTATTTATTGCACAAAGTTGGCCCAATTTTGTTACCGAATTTATCCAGATACGGAAAACGCATTTTATTTTTCTTTCCTCATACATGACTAGACTTCAAAATCCGAAAAAAAATTCTTCATTATTATTCACTCAAAATTTGACTAGATTATTCTTTGAATACTCTACGAATTGGATTAATCTTAAAAATATTGAAGTCTTAAATTTGTTTACTCCAAAAAAAGGAAATATTATTTTCAGTTTGCTATGGCAATTTGAATCCACGTTTGAAAATTGAGTTTAATTTACTGAACAGAAAAACTACTTCTTTTTTGTGCAAAATGCATACATCCAAAATTGTTGTGCACTTCGTACGATTCGATACAAATACAATAAAATTAATTAGCTAAAATGTGTGTTGGAACATTAATTCGGGATTAATTATTCATAAAACATACACAATCACATTATTTATTATTTCTGTTATTGTTCTTTTTAATTTTACTTAAGTAAAACATTTAATGACTAGATTTAGCTCGTATAGCTACTGGTTGACGATACCACCGTTGTCAGTTTCAATATCGATTATTGAACTAGAAATGAAACGAAAAAAACTGCGGGGAATGTTTGAAAGGGAAAACAACAAAATTTACACTTTGTATTGATCGTAATTATCGACGGGAGTAAGAGGTCGTTCATCATAAAATGCTTCTGACAAGTATTCCAGTACAACGGTGGGTAACAATTTTTCCAATTTGACTAGGTCTGATTTATTTTTGATGTGCTTCATAATTTCGCCTCTACATCGATCTTTCAGGTCGGGAAAATCGCGTCGCGTTTCACTCACAACCATTTCAGTTTTAGCTGCCGTCGATATGATGAACGGATACAGTGGCTTTTCAACTTTGTTCAAACCACGAAAAGCAACACCCAAACACTTGCCATCTTTGTAATAGGTCAGTGTTCCGTTGATACCGTCAAAGAATAAACCAATTACGGTGGCTTCATTCTCCACGAATCGATCGGTGAATTTGTATGCAATGCCACCGTGCCATAGTAAGCCTTTATGACTCAGACCCCATCCATTCTCATCTTCGCCCAACATGTTCGTAAACTTATTTGCCTGCAACCGCACATCGGCCGTTCCAACGCCGAACATCATGCTGTAAATGCAATGCACATATGGATATGAACCTATATGGATATGAAAAACCAGAAAAACAAAGTCGTTTATAATACCTCGTGCCAAAAACACGATGCGACACATGAATTTCCCAATAGTGTCGGCAACTGTTTATCGCATGATTTCCACGCACAGCCGCCGTCCCTTTACTCCAGTTCGGATGGAAATAGGCTATGAAAATTAAAAAAAAACATAAAATTCAACCAATATGACACAAAAAAACTCTATGAAATTGTTTGCATGATGAATGGTGCCACTCCCACCCTAGCCACCAAGGATTATTATTACTTATTGCAATGAAAAATTTAATCATATTTCATTTTTGATCAGCAAGTAATTCAGTTGCGAGCGACTATGAATATTATATGCAATGGATACATTTAAAAACGAAGGCGACTTATTTGCATATCATCGTCATCGGTGATGCCTTACCTTTTCGAAAAGTGTCACCCAGCATGACTTCTTGTGATCGATTCCGTTTGCTCCATATCCAATTGTCGTAGTAAGTGAGGTTCATAGTTTGGTAAGTATTTTTCTGGTCGGTGTGTTCCATATTGCCAACGACCAAATGACGTTTTGGAGCCATTTGTTGTGTGTTGCGTCTGTTTCGTTTGCCGTATCAAAATATATGGGTGAAATGCACTTGCGTTGCGGTTTCAATAAGTAATTCAATACTAATTCGTATACCGTGCAACTATTTCCGTGCTGCGTATCCAAAGAGCAAATTATCGCCAAACACTTTCTTTACAATGGGATTAAAAACAGAAGAATGCGTGGTAAGCTGCCTTGACGATTGCGGTGAATGAATTTCCTAGTGGAAGTTATTCAATCACAGAATATCCAATATCGGGTCATTCACTGCACTGACCCACAAACGTGCTCATTTTCTGCGATTGTTGCTCACCCGGTAATTCAATACCATTAAATCGCCTTGGCCCGTAAACTGTTTAATTTTCGGATTCGTTTCGTATAGATATTGACAAAAGCAAAAGGTCTTTGTGCAAATGCTTCCGTATGTGTATCCCCACTGTTATGCCCGTTTGATGTTCCTCCGATGTCTCTTTTTATTGCATTGAAACATTTGATTTATGCCATTGCCAGATTGCTGTTACCAAAATTTGCCAACAGAACACAAAAAAATGGTACAAGTGAATCCGCTTCACGAAATTGTGTGTACAGTATATACGCACAGTCGCACACACACGCACATACACACCGCTACTACCAAGGAGTGGTGTAGAAAGAAAATCGATTGGGGTTGCTTCTCAATTCGATCACCCACAATATATGTATATATTATTCTATTGCCGACGACGAGACCGAAAATATGAAGTAAATTCCTTTTTGAGTAAAATCATGTGTAGCAACTGCTTGATATGCTTAGCGTGTAATAAAAGGGTCGCCGAACTCTGGTATTCGAATAGCTGAAGAAATCGCATTCACAACAAACACTTATACACCGACAATAGACGCACACAGCAGCACACGCACACCATCAAAAACCCGGGGCCCGATTCTAATCACACACAGCTGAAACTAGAATGAAAAAAAATGTTCCGTAATGTTTGTGCGTGATTACGTCGTCGTCGTTGTCGTTGTACACATGACGTTGATTCGGTTGCGATAAAGCGACACAATCAAACAAATGTACTACACTATGCACTGTACTGTGGATGTGTATCAGCATATATTCGATTACAAAGTGCACCCCATCGAGTTTTGCGCTTCGAAAAAAATAATAATAATTCAACTATGTCTTCTATGCCCGCGGTTGATTTAATAAAATGAATTTTCTTTGGATTTCTTTTCTGTTTCGCACTGGTGACTGATGTGTTCACAATGATTCTATGTTATTTTCATTTGGCAAAGAACTGTTTTTCTTTTCACTTTTGTTTGGAAGGAGAAAATTTTCAGTTGGCAACAATATTGTACTGTGTTTTTGCTGCTTCGATGATGCTATCTCAGTTGAATGGGCTTCAAATTCTTTGTATCATAGCAACCGAACATTTTTTTATGAGATTTTAATTGGAATCGTTGATTTGTACAAGTTTTTCCACTTCAATTGATTTCGTATTTCGAATGAACTAGTGCAAATATTGCGTACTATGTTCGCAATTTGGCAGCTCGTTTTCGTGATCGAATCTTTTCCAGCAATTCCTCCCGTTCATTTGCACGTGCCTTATTCAATGCACTCGATGAGTGGCTCGAACGTTGTCGCTGATGATAAGAACTACCCGATGTCGCCGTCGTCGAGGATGAACCACCACCACCACCCGTATAGTACTTTTGTCGTGGATTCAAAAACTTGTCGTAGCAAAATAAAACAATGTTTTGTAGGTACAAACAAAGTGATTTGAAAAACAACAACACTATTATCAAAGTCATTTAAAACACAATTTCTCCGGGTTAGAAAAAAACTTTCGTTTTCATGGTTTTTCTTTCTATTTCCAAACCAATACAAGTTCTGGATCCCTTGCAGCGCACACAGTCATGCGTAGGTTTTTTTTCTTTTCTCTTTCTGCTTCTTATGCCATTTGTTTTGTTTCTAAATCTATTCAAGCCTCGCGTCATCGACTACTGCGACCAGTACACAATTTTCATCGATTTTCCTTATATGCCAAACTTTTTCACCGTAAAATGTTTCGTTTCTTATTATTATACCGAGAACTTATTTTTGCTCTTATTTGCTCTAATTTCGTTGTAATATTTCTACTACACTACACACCAAAAAATATGGCTGCGATGTGATTTTGTGCGCAACCAACATCTGAATGATTTTCCACCATTCAATGCACTTCTTTGGAACGCATTATTTTCATTTCGGAGCCGCCGCGCGATGCCATATCATCTATTTACAATTTGTATGCTAGCAATACACACAGGCACAATCGCGTATAAGCGGCAATGTCTATGTGTATATATGTGTGTGTGTGTTTTACTGTTTGCATCGGCCACCCTCTTTTTGTACTCAGCTACCGCTTACGGTTCATGCTGAATAATTTCGATATTATACAGTGTTCAGTGTGTGCACGATAGCAAGTAACTGAACATAGATAACAGCGTACAAGTGTACGGCGACCAGCCGACAAAAGTAAATAGATACATATACATATACGCACGGCAGTATATCCATAGTCGAATATGGTTAATGTTGGAATGGATTCGCATGAATATTCATATTGTTCGACGAATAACCAGTGCCTGCTAAAATATTATATTTTATCTGCAACTCAACAAACTTGAAATGATGGTTTTTTTCGTCCTTTTTTCATGTCGTGGGGTTCAGTTCAGTTGATAAACATTTAAAGAGCAATCATAAACCTTTTCTAACAGTCGAGTTATAGTCAGTGAATTTTGTGGATTCAATACGAGCGCACGGACGCGGTTTCCACATGCATATTCAAATCATTCACCCATTCGGAATTTTGTCGGGCTGTAAGCTGGGCCATCGAACAGAGCACTCGCTTAGACTCGTTCGAGCATTAGAATATTACCCATTCTAAACAATTCAAGAAATAAGAGAACAGTACCGCTGAGTATTACACATATATCAGGCATTGCCCTAATCAAAACAGCTTTGTTTTGAACACAAATGTTTGCTTTAAATACAATGCTCGTCAAACTCGTTAGCACTCGAAAAAAAGAATGCGCTAATTATTTATGCTAAAATGGTTCAAAGTTGCTCATGTATTTAGCATAAATTTTTAATTCACCATTCTACCTATGCATCGTCGTACCCAGGCTGAAAATTTAAATCGCTAAAAATCGTACACAATTTGGAACTTCTTTTGAAACTCAATTTATTTTATTTAAAAAAAATCATCTACAAAAACCAGAACTTCAGTCAGTTGGACTTTGTTTTAGTGAAAAAAAAGCAAATTAAATGCATTTGGTAATTCTTTGGAAATAGAAAAAAACAGACTGTTCAAACAGATCTCATATTACATAAAGCGTTTTTTTTCGGAGATTATCCGTGAATATATTTACTGTAAAACAAATCGATTTGGATTTTCAACGTATCGTTTCCATTCATTCGAGAAGCCAGCCATTGTAACACCGTCAATTACCCGATGATCGGCCGACCAGCTGACACATATCAAATGAGCACGTTGCACTTTGTCAGTGTCGCCAATGAAACGGGGAACAATATGCATGGTACCGATAGCTCCGATTGCCACTTGTGGCGGTGCGATTACAGGCTTCGTATACGTTCCTCCAACAACACCAATGTTTGACAGTGAAAATGTCCCATTTTGAAAATCATCCGGTCGCAATTTACCCGCACGCCCCCGTTCCAATAAATCATTTAAATCCCGTGCAATTTGTAAAATGGTTTTTTGCTCGCAATTTTTCACATTCGGTACAACTAAACCACTTTGTGTTGCCATCGCAATGCTAATGTTATGCGATGATTTATAGATGATTGATTCGTTTTCCTCGTCCACGCTACTATTCAGTATTGGGTATTTTGTTAGGGCTAGTGATGCGGCTTTTATGAAAAATGGCATAAATGTTATTTTAACACCCAGAGATTCGGCGTCAACCTTCAAACTATTGCGAAGTTTAACCAAATCGGTAATATCTACTTCATCGCTGTAGGTAAAATGCGGAATTTTCAATGCGGCTGTCATTGCTTTGAACATTACTCGGCGCACATCTTTCAACTTTTCCACGCGATCGTCTGCAGCGCGCATGGGCTGTTGTACGGTGGACTGAACACAAGGCTTATCAATCAATGGTTTCGAACGATTGCTATCGTTTTTCGGTGGGATAATGTTCAAATATTCAAGCACATCACTTTTTAAAATCCTTCCGTTTGGACCAGAAGCTTCGACTTCGGCCAAATTGACTTTGTTTTCACTGGCAATGCGACGGACGGCTGGCGTTGTTATTATTTTATTTGGATTGATAGTGGAAGCCTTGATCTCTATATCATCTGATTTCACTTGACCTTTTACAACCTCCGCCGCTTTGCTCACTTCTTCGACGTCAGCAGATTCATCATCAGTTACATCGAATTCGATCAGTGGCTTCCCAACAAATGCAATTTCATCGACGTCATGGTGTAGTTTCAGTATTTTGCCATCATATCGACTTGTTATCGTCACGGATGCCTTATCACTTTGAACTTCACACAAATTATCAAATTGTTCAACCACATCGCCTTCCTTAACAAACCATTCCTTAACAACAACTTCTCTAATCCCTTCGCCAATGTCACTTAAATTGAATGCAACTCGCTTCCAATGCGATGCCGACACACTTAGATTCCGATTTAACGTTCCGATTATTTTACTTTGCTTTAAATTACACAAATGGGCCAATGTGTTGAGTCGATTTTTTGGAACAATTAACCGAAAAGCCATTTTTATTCAAATCCCAAATTAGATGATGTGACGCACAAAAAAAGATCTACGTTTCGAAGAAATATCCCAAAACTAAAAGCAATGTTTTCGGTTTCGGTGTTTTTCATAAATTGAATCGCGCATATTTATCAGTAGAACGTCAGCAGATGATGACAGAGCAAAAACTGTGATGGTATTCGTGTGTGCGCGCTGATTTCGTTTTCTTTATTTACACAACTCTCTCACCCATGCACACACATATTCGATCGTCGATGCGTACGACGGCATTAGCCGCTAGCGCCTGTTTTTGTTTTCATGTTGTTTGCTTCATTATCACTGCGCATCACACACATCGATTGCGTAGCAGTCTACCACACACATGTAGCGATTTTAAAAATAAACTGTCCCTAACCAAACTTAAACATTTGTCACAAACGGATCGGATTGTCAGATTTATTTAAATATACAGAATACATGTTATCAATGAAAAAAAAAACTAAATTCCATTAACATTATCAGGCTTTGTTTGTTTGTGTACTCGTAGCCTATGCACTCGCAATGTACTCGGTTGTGCAAATGCTCGATCACACATTTCACATTTAAACGGTTTGTTTCCCGTGTGCATACTATTCTCGTGAAGTTTCTTATCGTATGACGTTGGGAATCGCTTTTCGCAATACGTACAGCCATGTGGCTTATCTCCGCTGTGCCAACGAAGATGTTTCAAGTAATTCGCGCGCTGTACAAATGTTTTCTCACAGTGTGTACACTTGAAGGGACGCTCTCCTAGTAAAAGAAAAAAAATTAATAAAGATTATTATTAATCAAATAATAATCAAATCGAATTAGTAAATAAACCTGTGTGTTGACGCATGTGATTCTTATAGTTGGATCGAGATTTCAGCATTTGACCACATTCGCCACACTTGAATCGTCTTTCATCCGTGTGCTTTGTCATGTGCATGTGCAGTTGTTTCTTCGTCTTGAATGCATTCCCACAAATTTCACACATAAACGGCTTGGCTTCCGAGTGTATTGTGAGGTGCTCCTTCATATGCGGAAGTTCGTCGAATTCTCTGCTACAGTGGGGACATTTATGTGACACATTCAATTGATGAACCTGTTGACGGGATAGAATTTTGTTTTTGATAAAAATCAATGGAAACGATTTTCCAATCGATTTTTTAAGGCTTTACTCCAATAAAATTGGAAAAAAGAGCTTTCGGTAGTCTCAAAGAGCCATAAGTACATACCGATCGAAGATGATTGTCCAACTCCATTTGTTTCATAAAAACTTCGTTGCAGTGCTTGCACTGGTATGCATTTTTCACGCCCGATACATGCTTCAAATTCATATGGATTTTGAGCCCATGCACGGCCAAAAACTGGAATCTACACAAATGGCATTCGAATGATCTTCCAGCACGTCGTTCACGTTCATGTATTCTGAGATGAGCCTTCAAGTGACTTGGCTTACAGAATACCTTGTTGCATATCGTGCAGGAAAAGAGATTCAAGCCGGTGTGACTGAAACATAAAATTTTAAATTTAGGACACTTTTCCGTATGCTCCAGTTTCAAATCTAACTTACAGTCTGCTGTGTTGGATATAGGAGCATTTGCGTGCAAATTTCCGGCCACAATCCAAACAGTGAAACCGATTTTCTTCATCAACAATAAATCCTTTAATTTGCTGTCCCGGTTTCAACACAGATGGCTCGGTGTAGGTTTTTTTTGTATTCTTCCTTCTTTCCGGCTGTTTTTCTTTTGCCGCTAATTCACGTTCTGTTTCAGAGATTTGTTTGTTGTCTTCCGAGTCACTGCTGTCTATATTTCTGTCATCGAATATATTGTCATTTCCCTGCAAATTTTAGTGATAAACAATTAAATCGATTTTGGAGCTAAAATTGTTGCATTTTGAAATAAATCACTCACAACATCTAATTTTAATTCTAGTATCCCATTCAGATCGTTGCTTTGTTTCACAAATGCTTCATCTTCGTTAAGATCATTTTCAATATAAATGGTTTGATCTTCAAGGGCCTCCAAGAGTCGATCCAATGATAACGTACCAATATAATTTAACTCGTGCAATTCATCGATGTCAAGTTCACAGATAAACTTATCAATCAAAAGAAAATTGGCCAATATGCCGAAGTCACAGCCACCTATACATGTTTTGAGTCGCCGAAGCCACTCTAAAACGGGCTCTTTCTTCACTTTATGGAATGAATAAAATGCTCTTCGACGCTGAAGAACAACTTCGGATGGTGTTTGATACAATTGTGGACAAATATTCAAGATTTCAGTCATTTTTTCATAGATTCAAGTTGTTTTGTTGATTTTCTTATGTGTATTTGAAAATCATAATAACAAAGAGGTTTTATTTTATAAACACAGTCTTTTTGAACACTGTCAAACTGACATTTCTAAAGTATTGTAGTAGATTGTTTGGATTTCTGAGTAGATCAAGCCGGTGGTTGGAAAATGATAGAGTTGAATTAAAACATTTGAAAATGAAATGGAATTATGGATTTGCTTTTGATAAATTTACACGAAAGAAAGTATCGGAGTTTTTCTGTATCCTTAATGACCATATTTTTCTCTACCTTTTGAACGCGATATTTTTTCATAAACTCTTCCTTATTCGATTATCAAGATCTCATGTTTGAATTTTAACAAGGAACAAAATATTTTCTTGTTTAAAGAATGAGTAACATTCAGAGAATCCCGATAGAACATCATTTCCCTGGGACCGAGTGTGAAAGTCCTAAAGACAGTTTCATCCAGATGTTCTGCAATTTTATGCATTTCTTACAGAAGAAATAGACTTTCATCACATTAAGGATTAAGCCCTGGCGAGATTCCTTGGATCAACTTCTGGAAAATGTTTAACTTTGTCATGACTTGGTCGTATGTCATCATTGCATCTCTTCTCATATCCACTCCTCAATTATCAATCAGAGTCGTTTGGAATTCCAACTTGGATTTAATTTTTACATAAATTGGAATTTCCAATTCCATTGCTTCGAACCTCCGATATGTTTTTTGGCACTGTTTTCTGAATATTGCGACTCTCTTTTAATCGTAATTGGTTTATTTAGAAGTTATCTTTGTCGCATTAAGGCATATCTCACTTCGACAGTGAAAAATAGTCTTTTTTTCTCGGATAACTGTTTCTTCGCTTCTGGTTGTTCTACTGGTGTATTTCGTTTCTTTCCTTCATCTGCCGTATGAGTTGATCGTCTTTATTTTTGGCGTACGTTGACTTTTTTTTACTCCTAAGTCGATATCCAATTCAGAGTTTGTACTTTGCAAATCATATCATAGGTAGGAAATACTAACGTTAGATGAATATTCAATAATAATTGTCAATAGTCGCCCCAAACAGTATCATTAATTGTTGTATCGTTTCGAATTGAAAACAGAAATCGATACAAATAATTACAATTTTAATGTTCACCGTATTTCTTCCATGAAATACAAATTTTCGACCGATATTGCTTCAACGGCAATGTATTCCGTTTTTACCAGCGTCTTTCGATCAAATTTTATATTAAATTTCAAAACTGTAACGGTGATATCATCAACCAGGAACTTCCGATACTTATTTAAGGGGAAAATATTTCTGTCTCATTTACGGTTAAATAATAAATTGTTGCCATGTCAAGAAATGATTTTTTAAAATTTTCTATCGCTAACATTTGTAGGATTTAATTCAAATTTTTTTTTTTACAAAATTCAATTTATTTCAAATACTCTTAAGAAATTTAAAAGATGTGACAGTTGGTAAAATGAATTGACATTTGCTCGTTGACTTACATAAATGTCAAATTTGGAATGCGACACGAATAAAATTACTCAATGGGGATAACAGTGGAATTTGTTTTGTTTATTACGAAGTCAAACAAGAAATAATGGAGACCGCAGATTGTGTTTTGGATGACGAACTGTTAGTCGGTAATAGAAATGAAATGCATAGAAATTACCTTTTGTACGACCATATAATTATGGATAAATATTTTGTTTCTAGCCAACGATGACTTTATTTGCAATTTTTGTTCCTTGGAATTTCCCAACTCCCTTGCAAGAACCGAACACACGTTGCAACACTTTAGGCAAGCAGTCTGTTCTGGATGTGAAGAGACGCTGATTTGCATCGGTGACGTCTGGTACGGACCGCATAGCGCCTCAAATTGTTGTAAGGCAAACACGGATGCTGTATCTGAAGTACAAGTTTCCGATGAGGTGATTCTACCCGACTACATTGAAATCAAACAAGAGGAAATTGTTGACATTGATGACGACGAAGAAGAGGTACGCGTCTACGACGAAGAAGAAATCAGTATTCATGATGAAGAGAGTGATTTATTTGGTGAAAATGAACTCGACGAAAATGAACCAGACGAGGTTGATACCATTTTTGATGCGGACGAAGACCAAGCAATCGCAGAGCAATATCATGTACCAACCATTTCGGCTGAAAACGAGTTGACCACTGACCGAAAAATAGAAACAGAATCGACGAAAAAATGTTTCAAAATTGTCAACAAAAAGTTTAAAGTTGACCTAAGTAATTGCAAAATGACCCCGATACATCATAAAAATAAATGCATTGGCTTTAAATCGGAACCCCGTGCAAAGAAATTGAACCACACACCACATGAAAAGAAAATGATCCAAACACCACAGCAGCAACAGGAAGAAAAAGAAGACGATTTGGAGTTAACGTTTGATAAGGAAATGCTTGGTGGAAGAGAGGTGACGTTGGGCTTGACGCAAGAACAATTGAACAGTCGACAGTGTCCAATATGTTTCAAAGTCATCATTAACCGACAAAATTTGATATGTCACATGAACATCCACAGTGGAGATAGACCATTTGTTTGTGACGTTTGCCAAAAATCATTTGCACACATACGAAATCTGAATCGGCACAAGGAGCAACAGGGTCACTCCGACTTCCAATTCCAATGCATTGTACAAGGTTGTGGAAGGCATTTCATGAGCTCCAATAAAATGAATCGACACATTAAATTGGATCATCAAAGTAATGCAATCATAATTCCGCAATTGCCATTTGAGTGTCCGCATTGTCGAAAAGCATTTTCATCGATCGGTTATTTAAGAATGCATATAAAGCAAGGACACAGAATTTCTTAACAATTCCGTATTAAAGTATTGAATAGAATAAGTAGAATATAAAAATCTCTATATTCACACATGTACTCAATTAAGATTAGTAATAAGTAATATGATTTTATTGTGAAATTCTCGGCAACTATCTTATAAAAAAAATCGTCTTAAAATTAAAACTACTTGGATAAATTATGTAATAGATAAAGCACCATTGTGTGGAATTCCAATAAACTTGAAATATTCATCAGTAGAATGAATTGTACATTGATCTTTCGCATGCCTCGTCGATTTTCTTTTGAATTTCAATTTCTTCTTTCGCATTCTTCGAAATGGTCACAATCTCATCAAAGTTGTCGTCATAGTCGTCGTCGTCAATTTTCTCAACTTTTTGTATCGGTTCTTCGCCGATAAGCAAACGCACGTCGTCAGTAAGGTGTTCCATGGTTTTGATCTGTAAATATATGGCTTCGGCCTTTTCCAGTGATGATTTCAAGTCAATGGCCAATGACAATTCATTAACATGCTTTAAAATTTCGTTGAATTCATATTTTCGTTCGATAAATATATCTTGCTGATCGTCTAAAATAGCAACACTGACAAACAGATGGAAATTCATGCACGGTAAATTTGTCCATAATACTTCCCACAGCTCGTAGATGTCTTCGTTGGTGAACTCACGCTTGAACCACACGAGCAGCCAACGGAAACAGAAATACATATTTTCCGATTTGTGCTCCTTGAAATAGGCGTAAAGACGTGGATTTGCGATGGCGATCAATGTATTCAAATCCTGAAGCTGTCGTTTCATTCCCGCTTGGTCCATGTCGAAGTTGGTGAATACAATGTCCATGAAGCCAACAAAACACCAAAATGCATCCGACTAAGAAGAGACAGAATTTAAATGAAATTGCAATTATGTCAAACTCAATTAGGATAGATTTAGCGAGATTTTCAAGATAAAATCATTAAAACCTTACCTCATTGTTCATGATGCATAAAATGGGTGCCAACAAATCGCTCATTCCTTGAACATAACCTAAATCAAAATTATACATCACATACGTCATCAGAATGTCTTGAAGGACACTCAAGTTGGGATTATCATCTCCAGCAAAGTACTCTTGGCTTCGATCCGTTCGTTTGACATCCTTTTCAATTTGGCATTTTCGATCACGATAGTCGGAAAAGTTTTTCTCTTGAATTTGTGACATTGACAGCCATTGTAGCTTCATTTGATAGTACTCTTGACTTTTGCGATTTTTATGCTGTATTTTCTGTTCGGTTGTCATGTCCCAATCGTAATAGTCCAGTAAATATTTCCACACCTCGGGCCGCAGTGAATCTTCTACACCACCCCGAAAGATGACTTCTTTGACACGTTCGACATCGGAAATACGACCATCTAGTTCAAAATTATTTATACATTAAACCGTTGAATTTTATCTATAAGCTAAGATAAGCTAATTGACTCATACCTTCGGTTATAAATTCGTTCCACTGTTTGACTGAAAGTGGTGATCCTCTGGTGACTGTTGGTCGCACTGGCAGACTGAATTGATTTTCGGCTTTCGGTGAATTACTCAGCACTTCATACTCATCATTGTTCGATGCTAGACTTGTGGTTGAGTTATTTGGATCCGATTTTACGGGTGATGTTTGTGCACTTTGCCCAGCCGCAATGGTATATACGTCGGACATTTTGGCCAAAAAATCAATGGTTTGTTCCAATGGATTTCGCACTATATTTGATATCCAGCCACCTTTTCCCGATTTAATGTCGTCAATTTTCAATTCGGCAAATGTTTTTTGCAATTTCTCCTTATCATATTCAATGTTATCAACTATCTCAAATTGATTCTTGTTGTGACGGCTCCGTTGCAGACAATGTGTCGTTTGTAGTGTTCTGACAAAACCGTCCGCGTTTCCGTTTTGAAAAAAATACTCGCTGTGTACTTTAGCATCCGATTTGTTAATCAAACGAATGGTGTGACCATTTTTTAAAACTTCAATATATTTCAATTCACCGATTCGAGCCCGTAAAATGGTTGGCTTATTATTCTGTGGTGTGGGTTGCCGTTCGGCTGTATTTGTCTCGGTTGACTGAATCGTATTGGGGTTGCCACCAAATACATTACATTCACTGGCGGTTCGTTGACGTTTCGTTATCGTATCAACAAACGACCAATCGCCCTGCTCTTGTGTGTCCGCATCAGCAATCAAATAATGATCGTTTGGTTTCCATTCGATGCACAAATTATTCGCTATATAATGCACCAATGACAAACTGCCCGTGGTGCTGTGTAATATTTCGTTGAGAAATGAGAGCGGCCCTTTTTTCAGCAAAATCCCGTCGTTCGTACTGATTTCCTAGATTCGTACAGAAAGAAAGAACGAAAGCGAAAAAATAAACGGACAATGATAAATCAGTGATCTGTGTGCCATGAATAAATAGTTCGAGATTCTGTTTTTCAAAATATTCGTTAAATATGACCTTTCACATCGGAATTATCACTTTGAAAATATTTTAGAAGAAACATACAGAAGCAAAAATGATACGGATTACACGCCAAACAAACGTAATACATGTATATGAGTACATGAATTCACAAGCAGTAACAAGTCGTTATGGAACCACACGTAATGATAATAACGTTTGAATGGTATTTATCAATTCATGTCTTTATTTAACACTCAATTCTTTGCGCAGGCTACCATTACGTGAATACTACGTTGCTGTTTTTTTCTTCGTGTCCACATAATCGTTGTTTGTATTTACTATAAATTTAGGCTTTGCTCTTCCGCATATTTTTTATTCAATAAAATTTGTATTACGTTTTGTAGTGGCGTGAATCATCAATAAAAACTAGTGAAACACTTACTTGCCCGTTCTCGTACACTTCACCGTCGTCATCCATGTTTTTCTACTGCTGTGATTCCACAATATTTCCAATAAAAACACTTTTACCATTCAATTCGTGCCGTTTTTCTGCAGTCACTGGTTTTGATTGATGCACAAAAACTTGAATTACTTGAAAATGTTTGAATTTTTGTGGTTTGTAATTTGTGTCGTAGATTTTTTTTCTTCTCATTCACAATTGATCTGTTGTGTATCACTTTGAATGTGTGTTTACAATGTTTTGACGTTTCTTTGTTATAGAGTTTCAAGCAAATCGAAATCAAACATTTTGACAGCTAGACTCACTGGGGAGGGGGATCGGAACATATTCTATTCCTTTGTGTCTCATTTGAATGATATGAAATGAACATTTGAATAAATTTTGTTGGAAATTTTTTTTCGTTTTTTTTTTCAACCAAATTTATTTCCTGGAAATATTTTCACAGGATTTTTGGAATTTTATTCAAAATGTGGTAACTGTTTTAACCACTTTAAAATGGACAATATGCATGAATCTAATTCAATAACTACTCTTATAAGAAAAAACTATGCATTTATTTGTACAAAAATGCAATGAATGAAATAATAAAGTGAAATAATTCCAGTCTATGGTGAAATAGCATAGGAAAATGTAGTTTACTATTGCAAGTAGCAAGTAGTTGTCGGACCATAGAGACTTAATCGGTTCAATCGGTGGTGTTGTGGAAGTGGTTCACACGTTGAATTCGCTTTTGATTATGTTGTGCTGAAAACACCATTTCAAAGCCACATGCATATTGACTTGTAAAATATAGCCGAATCAGACGAGATGAGAAATATTTCATTCAAAAATTAATTTAAATTCGCAGAATAATGTTATCAATTGCTGTATTTTTGCATCGATGATTCGAATCGAGGCGAATGTCTCCAAAACAGAAAATTACCGCATGAAAATGCGTTCTCCATACCGAGTGGTATGTATGCAGCGGGCTCGCTAATGACAGTGACATTTGTGAGTTTCACACTTTTTTGTTAAAAAAATATATATATATATAAAAATTCAATTAATTTTTTTTTAGAGTGAGACATATATTTGCTTAATGCACTCATCGGCAAGCAAATTTTAGCATAAATAAAAGTTGCAGCTACTTTTTATCGACTTATTCGGCGTACATCGTTCGATGGAAATGATTCTGTTTCGGATATAATTACTTGTGACTAATAGCGAAAAACGTGTTGCAATTTTTTTTTCATCTTACACACATATCAAAAGGCAAGCGACAACAAAGACGACCGAAACCACTACGTATGTGTGTAAATGAGTGAGTGAAAAAAAACAGCCACGAAAAAAAAAGTAGAAGCGAACAACAAACAGCAACCAAATCAGTGCATTTGAAGAATTGCCATAGAAAATAAGGAAACATTCAAAATATCTCGCGTTAAATTTGTAAATGTTTCCTCGCAATGGTCTGTAAAGACGAAGTCGTGCATTGGTTCAAGGGGCTAGAGAGTTACAAGCGGATCGATGCCATGTGCACATTACTGAATATGTGTCTACCGTTTGAGCTACGATTTCTGGGCACCTGTCTGGAAGAGCTGGGCGGCCGAGATTCAAAAGATCTTCGAGGCATTGAGCTACGTGTCAATAATTCAAATGAATTGGCACAAGAAATCGCCTCATCTCTACTATGTGATCCGTCAGACATAAAAGTACGACGAAAAATGGCACTATATTTTGCATTGATTCGAGCCTGTAATCGACACTGTGTCAATGAACTGTTTAATATTTTGTGTTTGTGGAGTTGCAACGAGTTTTTAAAGTGCGCCAAAGATGATGCACTGCAAGAACTTCTGCTAGTCTACACAATGGCCGCCAATCATCCGGTGTTTTCGTTCGAGCAACGAATGAAATGCGGCGAAATTTACAATAGCATATTGAGCGGCAATCCGGAGATTTCGTTTTCTGAAGTTCCAGCCGAACATTTGCTCACAAAGCCAGTTCACGAGGGTAACCTGGGAGCATCGAATGTTGTGTATCCACAAAAGCATGTTCCAGGTGATCAACAAATTATGCCTGTGTTCGCTATACCGAATCCAGCGGCAAATGTATCTTTCGATCAAAATCGCGGATCTCAGGTAAGTAGTGAAATGGGCTCACTATAATCGTCATAATTCTTTTTATCACCATTCAACAGTCGATTCGAGTGCTAATTCATTGCTTTTATGATTTATTCTGACCTACAAAAGATTATGCATCGTGAAGTCGTGAGCATTTCACCACATCATATTTTTGCTGAGGGTGGGCAGTCAGGATTTCATCACAATATAGCACATGTCTGTCCGACAACTACGCCAAATGTAGCATCTTTTCCCACGTCACGATCGAATCAAATAAGCCAGCAGCAGCAACAACATCAGGCAGTACCGCAAGCGCCAACACAACAGCATATTAACACGAGCAGTGCAACAAATTTGACGTACTCATTGCAAAATCTTAGTTTGATGGATAATAATCTAGTTTATGTACATAGCGATGGAATTCCAGTAATGCACAAATCGGAAAGTGATTCTATTAGTTCGGGCGAATCAATTGAAGACTCAACACCGCCGGATACACCATCGAATACGGACGTTATGTCAAATTCGGGTGTAAGTGGCAGTAGTAACAGTAGCATTAATAAAAAATTCAAAGGTCGAGGCAATCCGAAGGTAACGTCACGGCATAAGGTATCCGCTCAGCATCAGCCCCAGCAAATAGTCTATACACATATATTGCCACAGATACCGGTGTCGGGTGCATTAAGTAATGAAATTGTTCTTGCCCCAAATGCCACACAGACCCAATCACAGCATACAATCACCCAGCCTCAACCGACACCACAAACCATTCAAGCGATCGGCATTGCAAGCCCTCAAGTAATCTATCAACAGTATGCACAGTCCACACATCCCTTGCAAAAGTCACAAATGAACCAAACATATCCATATACGCAACAACATTTACCATTGAATAATCGATCGTCAATACTGTCACCGAACACCAATACGGTAACGTCAGCGCAACAGCAGGCTGCCCCGTCATATCGGATACCATACCATATGCAACCAAATGGTGATGTGATTTATCAGCTTCCCACGACATTTGCTTACATGCAACCATCGGCCTTACCTCTAACACGACCCCCATCCACATGCAATCAAACGCATACGGTAATTCCAACACAGCCGCCAACGATGCAACATCTACCAACGATTACTAGTCTGTCATCGAAATCCAATCAAAACACAATGGTTCCGCCATTTCTACTGGCCAACGACAATACCAAGCCCAATACGTCTTGTTTTAACTGCGGGTCCAGCCAACACACCGGCCAAGAGTGCCAAGAGGCAACGATGGAAGATGTCACCCGGAGCATTTATAAATTGGACTACAATTCCACCCTAGTGAATGACACAATGAAAACAGCATCCGAATTAGACAATGGAAGTGGCGTAAAAACGAGCGATTCAATCACACACATGCCACCGTCCGTTTTGAATAAATAATTGTTTGCGAGATCTGCTCGATTTTGGGACAAGGAAAACTGAGTCACAGAGAGAGAGAAAAAACAACAAATTTTTTTTAGCATAATCACATTTTAATGACAGACAACACAATTAACTCTCGAATGTTGCAGTCGAGACGTCGTCGGATTGATCTGGCTCATGCAGTCGTCAATGGGGTAGGACACACAGTGAAAAATGATCAAGTGCCATCATTCAAATAGATACTACGGTACTATGGCGCATCAATTGCGAAATGCGGTAATTGGCGGTATTTTACGTCATTATTCAAACACACAGAGGGAGATTCACACACACACACACACAAGCACATCGATCGAGATACACATAAACCACGATTCGGAATTTCGAGGCAAGCAAAAACAATGGGATTCTATCTGAAGCAAGAACAATTAAATTTATGCATAAACACATATTTGTAACGAAATGGGAAGAGATAAACAAACTTCGAACAAGTATTTTAACCAGTTTTATAGAATGCAATCCTTTTCAATAGGATATTGCGAAATGAGAAGAACACAACATGAAACCGGCTAATAGACATCAATTATAATTTGCATCGATTTTAAAATCAATTTCAATTTTAGCTTAACACTTGAACCATTTAGTCAGAGAATAGCAGGTATTTCGAGGCTAGTACCGTTACTTTTCCATTGATTTTCCATTTGCAGTCATTATACAAACACTATGAAAAGTATTCCCAGAATGTAAAATACAACACATCCAAATGTATAGATTTCAACAAACAAATATTGCTGTCAGCATAGAGAGATGTGGGAGCATGGTGCAAAATTTTCACTTTCAATTTGCTCGAAATATTCAATTTCCATCAATTTCAAGTTAAAACCACTTTCCGTTTTGTTTCCCTTGATTGGCTAGTAATTTTTCTTTCTCTTTTGTTCTTCATTTCTGTGTATGAGAATTTTAATACGAAATACTGTATCCAATTGAAGATCATTCGCATTGAAATTTTTCTGTTTATATTTTCAAGTTGTGTTGTATTGTAATTCCAAGATACAACTGCTTTCTTTATTTTTATAAAATTTAAGAAGACAAAAATTATATTTTTTCTTCCTCCGTCCATATTTTTCTGGACGATCTCTTTATTTAGAGGAATTAACTGATGTTATTAAATTCAATAGTTTCAAGTGAATTGAATCCAAATTTGTTCATACAATCATCACAGAATGAATAAAATTGTGTTTTCTTCCGTCTTCTCGGGCCTCTCGATATACTCGTTGAATACTTGTGTTTGCTATGGACATATAGGTAATAATTTTTATATTAAGAAACAGGAAAAAAAATAGAATGCCTTTTTGATGAGCCCCTTTCGAAGCTGAAAAAAAGAGAATAGTTTTTCTTTTCTTAAACTACTAAAACTACCATGAAATTACCGTATCGTATATTAAGCATCTTCTTAAACGCAATATAGATAGGCATTTTTGTGAATTATTATTATCATTATTGTCGTTATTTGCAAATCTCAACATATTTGATTTACAAGTTACTGGCTTCCTTGTGACAACGCTCGATTGCGTGAAAATACCGCAATCGCCCATACAATTCACGCTATTTTTAATATCGTCAATCACTTAATGATCATCATTGCGACGAATGACAAAGGAATTCACATGGAAATGAACAAGAAAATAGAAATAGCGGCGTTATCAAGGGAAATTAGCGTATTTGTGAATAATTGCAAGTGATAAATAAAATGCATTCGCTCTGACTGTATACATAATCAACTATCTACTACAACTTTAGAAAGGCCCCTCAAATCAAACACATACAATATAATGATTGTTCTAATTCAGAAACAGACAAAAAAGAAATTTGATTGCAAAACAGAAACAATACCCCTACATTTGATGTAATGCTAAAAAAAAACTATGTCCTATTTATGGCCTAATTATTTTCACTATGTTTGTAATATACTATACGACCAACTCTTTTGTTTATTTTTTATTTTTATTTTTTACCTAGTTTTCACATGTAAATAGATGATAAATTCTAGTATATATTTTTTTAAATATTACCTACTTTTTCGCTGATGTTTCTTTTTCGTTCGTTTTTTATGTGAAATTGCACATGAAACGTTCTACAAATTGAGGAACGATAAAAAAAAACCACAGACAAATTTAATGACAACAACAAACAAAATAAAATCGATTATAAAACTTCGTACGAAGGTGAAGTATAACTAAATTAGGAATTCCTATAATAAATTTATTATGTAAAAAAACAATTACACATACACAAAAAACAACAAAAAATTAAAACTTATTGAAAAAAACAATTTATTATTAAATTATGAGAATAACGACTACTATTAGTATGAATTATGCATAAAAATAAATTTTTTTTATTTATGTGTTGCATGAAAATAAACAAATTTTTTCTAGGTATGGAACGAGAGTTAAAAACTAAAAAGCAGATATTTACTAAATGTATTTAAATTACACACAACAAACACACACATACATTTTCAAATTGCAGACAGGAATACAATAAAAATTAATAATCAAATGACCTATGCAGACAGAGATTATTATATGTAACTTTATTTACATAGACCTAATTGATCATAACTTTGCATATTACAAACAAAATAACGGATCAACATTATTACAATAAAAATGCGTTTAGATAAGGGAAACTTAATACAATATGATGATCAACAGTGAGTTTTTAAATTACAAAAAAAGAGAAATGAATAAATAAAAAAAAACGTAACTGATCAAATAAATTGACATACATTGAATTTTATTTAATTCTATTTTGAACAGGATTTCATGAGTCTTTACAACGACATGAATGAATGGTGTAGAATAAAGCGGAGTACCATACAACGTAAAGGCCATATGATGGTTTTGTTGCGTTTTGAACGAAAACAAACAAAAGATACGTTATTTTCATTGTAGAGCATTAAAATGTCATTTCAGAAGATTCGTTTACTACATGGGAACGACATTCAGCTGAAATACAGAGCTGAAGTAACAAAGACAATTCAGCATGTAGACTTTTTGATTTGTTGGGATATTCCTGAAAATATTTGTCAATCATTTTGATTATATAATCATATAAAAACTTAAAAAGTGTGCACACTGGTTACAGTAAACAAAATCTGCTTGAGTGATCTGATACACTAACAATAAGCATGGAAAGTATACGTAATCAAGCAAAGTGACGTGACATGTGTGAGACACAGAGTGAGAAGACGATTAGCGTTCAGTCACTCGTATAAACTTGTTGAACGTAGAAGTCTTCGCTGTGTTGTTTTTTTGGTTTTTGTCTTGTCATTTTAGCTAATCTGTTGACATTTCTACTCGAATTTTTTTTGGAAATACAAAATTGTATCTTTCGATATTGTTCAAATTTGATTGTTGTTGCAAACAGCAAGTTATTGCGACTAAAAGTAGAAAATAATAATTTCTAGTCAACAAAATGGTTTTAATACGACTTGTGCGCAATATTAGTTCTAGTCTACCGAAAAATGTTGTACACCGTCAACAATGTATCCTTTTCAAAAACATTTGTTTCTTTCAACAACTTTGTGAACATATTTTATTTTGAACAAACATTTTTCCTTAACCAATTTTCCAATAGTATCATTTAGTTCGATCGCAGCCAAACGTAAGTTATTGGTTATTTTGTCATATTTTTAAGAAAATAAAACCACTCAAAATTGCATTGAAAATCATTTGGAATTGCTCCATTCCGAAAAACACATATTTTTTTCCCCAAGTTGATGTCGTTGAGACTTCAAATGAATTAGCAACAAAAATGTATATCGATGACAGTATTTTTGTGCAATTTTAAGTGAAAAATATGTTTTTGTTTGCGTAAGAACCAGAGAATGATCTGAATAGCAGTTATCGCTGTTGTGTTGTTTATTTACCTTATCTATTTATGACAAGAGATACTGATAGAACGCTACTTGATTAAAGAACATTTCAACCGATATAACCAAATTGTTTGCTGTCAAACTTTGTCTCGCTCACGCCAACTGTCGCACTGACTCGTTCGTGTACGAATTGCTGTTAGCGTAAAAGAGACTTTGTTCGCAGTGGACTCAGTTTAGATGTTCTTTCATTCTCATTTCAGATGGATTTGATTGGCAAGATCCGTTTCAATTGGAATCATGTTTAACGGAAGAGGAAAAATCGATACGAGATACGATGCGATCCTATTGCCAAGAGAATTTGATGCCAAGAATATTGGATGCCAATCGAAATGAAGGTACGCATAATAATTTGGATCATTTTAGTCTTGATCTTGTAAATTGGTTTCTCCGTAATAACGAACATGCATTTCTTCTTTCGTATTACAGTCTTTGACAAGGCGATAATGACGGAATTGGGGTCTCTGGGTATCTTGGGATGTACAATTAAAGGCTATAATTGTGCGGGAATTTCAAGCGTAGCTTATGGCCTTATAACTCGTGAGGTGGAACGTGTTGATTCTGCCTATCGGTCAGCTGTAAGTGTACAAAGCTCATTGGCGATGGGAGCAATTTATGATTTTGGCAGCGAAGAACAGAAAAACAAATATCTACCAATAATGGGTATGGCTATTATTCCGATATCTCAATCATACAACAATGTTATTTCAGAAGACCATTTACATAATTTATCGTCTTCTCCTACTTGCAGCCAAAGGTGAATTGATTGGTTGTTTCGGTTTGACCGAGCCAAATCACGGAAGTGATCCAGCGGGTATGGAAACCAATGCCAAATACGACAGCAAAACCAAATCTTACATATTGAATGGGTCAAAGACTTGGATCACGAATGCTCCGATATCGGATATATGTGTGGTTTGGGCGCGTTGTGCGGACAAAAAAGTACGAGGTTTCATCATTGATCGGTCTGAAAACTCCGAAGGGTTGTCAACGCCAACGATTCATGGGTAAATAAACAACACAACAGCGATAACTGCTATTCAGATCATTCTCTGGTTCTCACGCAAACAAAAACATATTTTTCACTTAAAATTGCATTAGGAAATTCTCGTTGCGTGCATCTGCCACTGGAATGATATTGATGAACGACTTGCGTGTTCCAGAGCAAAATGTTCTACCGAACGTTGAAGGGCTGAAAGGTGCGTTGAGTTGTCTGACAAATGCCCGTTTCGGCATTGCATGGGGCGCATTGGGAGCAGCTGAAGCATGTCTGCAAATTGCTCGTGATTACACCTTAGATAGAAAGCAGTTCAAAAAGCCATTGGCCGCAAATCAACTGATTCAGAAGAAATTTGCAGACATGATAACCGAAATTGGACTCGGTCTCAACGGTTGCATACAAGCTGGCAGACTTAAGGATGAGAAAAAGTAATTTCTAATTTCTTGTAATCAAAGGGTTATTGACCTAATTTATATCATCATTCTTTTAGATTAACTCCAGAATTAGTCTCACTACTGAAGCGAAACAACGCTGGAAAATCACTGGACATAGCGCGTAGTGCAAGAGACATTCTCGGTGCAAACGGAATTTCAGATGAGTATCACATTATCCGGCATGTCATGAACTTGGAGTCAGTCAACACATATGAAGGTTAAAATCTAAAAAACCAATTTGTTGGAATATTTCATTTGAGCCTTGTTAAACAACAAAAAATTGCGTTTTTTTCTGGAAAAGATGCATCAAACTATGATAGGCTCAAATGGAATATGCACCACAATCTGTTGATAGTCATATTGACGAAGTCAAAATATTTATTTACAGGAACCCATGATATTCATGCATTGATTCTGGGCAGAGCAATCACTGATATTGCTGCATTTTAATGACTTTTCGCTTCGGAAACTCTGACTTTTATTAAAACTGCCAAAAATATGTAAAAAAAATTGAAAAATAAACCAATTTCATGTTGAAAACCAAATTGCAATATTTAAAAGATTTCTTTGTTTCGTATTTTGTGCAGTATAGAGTGGTTTTGTGACAGAGTCAATCTAGTACGTTGACGTAGTTGACAGCTGATTTATTTTTCCTCTGAAATATTGTGGATGTCAGAAGAGAGCTGTATGTGTGATAAATGTCACATGCATTATGTATTTTGTGAAAATTTGCTTGTTGTTTTCTTATATGAATCAATGTTGAGCGGATAGAAAAACCAAAGAAGAGAAAATCAAATAAAACTTCAGTAAATAATATTCATAAAGAATGGAAACGAGTGAACAACCGCCGAATGATGATGTCACCGCCCGTCGAGAGGCACGTCGTCGCAGAATTTTGGAAAATTCCAAAAGCCGCCTGACACGAATCACTGGCCGAGAGCATACTGATGAAGATGACAAAAAGAAAGGTAAAATTCCATCCGTTTTCTTTTGAGTTCAAGAGAGAAAATAAACTCTTGTCCATTTCCACAGCAGATGATGAGTCAAAGACACAACCAACGGAACCAATGATATATCCAGACCCAGAAATAGAAAGAGACGTGTATATACCACAGTCAGCGCCACCATTCCCCCCAGAACTCTTCGCTGATGTCAATGGAATGGGTGGTTCATTCGATGATCAAAAACAGTTTTTCGAACTGCTCAACACGCTTCAGCAACAGAGTGGCGGATCAACAGGCGCTGGTGCAAGCAATTTCGCTGCATTTGCACAGTTTGGCAATGCTGATGGCGGTGGGCCAAATCCATTTTTTGCCAATCTCACTACAAATGAAAGCCCCAAAGTGCCTGAAACTCGATTACAAAAATTTCTCAACACGAAAATTCACATCGGGCTTTTGGCAATCCTAACATATTTGTTTATTTTGTACACACCGTTCCATTGGAATGTGTTTCTAGTCTTTCTCGTATGGGAGATTGCCGAAATATTCATACTAGGCCAACATGAAACAAACCCAAATGGCATAATCAATGTGTTGTTCATGCTGGCTGGCATATCACCGGCCAAAGTGAACATTGCCTTGAAGTGGATTCAGTTGTTGAACAAAGTTTTGCGTGACGTAGCATTGTTTATGTTCTTTTTCGTACTGAGTCATTTGTGCCGGGCGTCGTGGAATGGATTCAGCCTGGTGCCATTGGTTGAGAACAGTGACCAAAGTACCGGGATCCTGGACAAAATCGATGATAGTGCCGATGATGTATTCGAACATTTTGATTTATAAAATTTAATAGTTCAGTCGCGCATTTTTGTTGTTCCGCATCACTCATGATAATGAGTTTGTTTGTTTAAATTGGATTTTGGTACTTAATAAATTACAATCTAAAGGAAAAACCATCATTCATGACATTGTATTCATATTTAACTGTCTTATTGCGAACGCCATGTGTTCACCTATCCTATTCCAACATATCAAATTAATCCCAAGAAAATCTTTTGAAATCGATAATTTTTTCAACAAATTTTTGTTCAACAGATTGTGTATCTAATGATTGATTTGATTGTAGCATAAATATCAATAAAAAAAATGTTTTCTTCTCTGCAAATTATCATCTAAATATATCAACTGATTCACATTAAAATGTTTCATTTCAATAGCAGCTCCATCCGAATTTCATTCATTGCATACATCTTGTTGACGATGTGAGATAATGAAACCATAAAAATGAAAATTTAATTTCAGACACATGTTCACATGTTCACAGTGTGAATGACAGTTTAACAACAATCAGTATGTTATACGTCAAAGCGAAGAAGATTGTCATATACACAGATATTACGCACCAAAAAGTCAATAGTTCAGATGGCATATCTCTCTATGTAAGAAAACATCTTTATTCTTGGTATCAGAAGTGAAATTGCAGTCATTCGTTGCTAGTGAAAGCGATTCGTTGTCTTCGTACTTGGGAATATTCCATTACTCAGATATTTGTGATTTAATATCAAATTTCAAGAACTAGCACTTACAATACAAATGGCTATCGATATTAAAGACAAAGTGATCGTTGTCACTGGTGCTGGACAAGGTACAATTATGCAGTAGTAAAAGTAATCTGATCTAAAATAAATATTCGTGTGATTGAGGCTCATGGAATTTTCGCTTAGATTAGAGATTGGGAATCGAATAGAATGTGACCCATTTGAAAAATGTGCAAATCACTACAATGAACATTGTACATATTGTACATTAAACACTAGACATTTTATCCATTCTAATCAATCAATGACGACAATTCAAACTTTTGGCTTGTTTAGATTTAACCCATTAACTACCGGGCAAACTTTCATATTTCAATCACTGTTTCTATAAGGTATTAGTTAGTTATTTATTTTTTTTAAATAAAACCAAATACGCATGGTTCCAAACTCAAAATATAATTGTTCCTTTCTTAAAATTTATAGACCAAACAATGGCTGGTCGGAATTCCGACCACTGGTAGTTCATGGGTTTATATCACTTTCACGTGATAACGTCTGTTTTTGGCATATCCATAAATTATTATTATTGGGAGACATATTTCATTTGAAGATGTCTTGTATGAATTTTGCTCAAGTGCTTGGATTTTGGACGGCATTTTTTCCCATAAAGAAGATAAGGATGAATTAAATATGTTGCATAACAGTTTACATTCGAATTGGGATTGTAGGCAAAGCAAAGCACATCTCAAAGTCGTCCATATAACTTGTTCTTGGAGAATGTTATTTTCAACTTTATCAACAAAACTCAAATATCATGTAGTAGAAATAAGAAAAATCTAAAAACATGAACAAATTTGATAAGAGATTTTTATTGTTTTTTTTTTCATCGCAAAGGAATCGGGAGAGATCTTTGCGAACGTTTAGATGCATTGGGTGCAACGGTATATGCAATTTCACGCTCTGTTGAACCGTTGGCCGAGCTGAAAAAAAGCCATCCCCGCATAATAACTGTACCAATTGATTTAAGCAACTGGTCAACATCACGAGCGGAGATTGTAGAACACTTTAAAAATGTTAAAATAGACGGACTGGTTAATAATGCCGGTGTTGCAATATGTAAGCCGTTAGCTGAGCATACCGAAAGAGATTTCGATGAGTAAGTAAATATTTTAAAAATGTTTATGCAAATCGTATTACTTCATAAAAATGAAAATGGCTTCTTCTATTCGTAGCACTATGAATATCAATGTTAAGGCCATTTTTAACGTAACTCAGGCCCTGCTGCCGAATTTAAACGATGGAAGTAGCATCGTAAACTTATCTTCATTGGCTAGCTTACGCGCACTCCCAAATCACTCTATCTATTCAGCGTCGAAAGCAGCCGTGGATGCATTTACACGCGGCTTCGCTCTTGAATTGGCACCTCGAAACATCCGAGTTAATAGCGTAAACCCGACGGTTATCTTGACCAAAATGAGTATTCCAAATTGGAGTGAGCCAACCAAAGCGGAAAAAATGAAGAGTAAAATTCCATTGCATCGTTTTGGAGAATTGAATGAAGTTAGCGATCCAATCATTTTCTTGCTTAGCGACAAATCATCTTTCATCAACGGACACTCGTACGTATCTTCTTTTAATTCATCTTATCTTACATTTTTTGGAGTTCTTTATTTAACGAATTTGTTTTATTTCTGCTTTCATAAAAAAGGTTGCCAATCGAAGGGGGAGCCTGTGCTTGCTAATCTCCATTCATATCAAACTAAACGTAACTGATAATGAAACGTGTACCGAATTCTTGTTTGAGAACAACAAATATATATAGCAACAAAACGCTGAACGCTGATACTCGTCCGCGGTCACGACTTGAGTTGATAACAAAAGCATTCCTAGTTTGGCACACTTCACATAAAAACAAAACAAACACGTTCGAAGAATAAAATATTTATGAATAAATACATATTGGCACGAGATTTTTGAACAAATTTCACCTGCGACACGTTGAAAACTTGGCTACAGGGCATAATTTTCCCGGTCATTATTCTTTCAAATTTAGGAAATAATTTCCCCAAAATCCAAAAAGTATGCGGAGAAATTATGACCATTTTCGATTGGATATAATTTCACTGTCTCTTTGGAAATAATTTCCCCGGGAAATTATGTCCATACATATTTGGATATAACTTCTTCTGATATTTGGCCATATTTTCTCTAATCAATTTTTTTTTGATGTGGAAATTATGCCCAAATCTGAAATGGATTTATCATCTCCAAACTTTACTCCAGCGTGCTTCAATGTATACCAAAATTTAACATGCAAATTATATCATTTTTATTCCGGTCATAAAAGTGTTGTTTGTTATTCAATGCTGGATTTCTTTGTTTTTCAGTAATAAGCCAATAAATGATTTTATTTGACAATGCCTTGATTACCTTGATCAACAAAATATGTATTTGAATCAGAGCGCTGAAAAATTTCTCCAAACTGTCAAACTGTACCGTATGCACAAATGTGTCGCTGGAACGTTTAAGGAGTTTCTCCAGTTCTTCTACTTGGATACAGTGACGTTGACGGTTGAGGACATCGAAACCGTTGCCCGTTTGGCCGATAAGTTTGGCCGATAAGTTTGGCCGACGACATTCTTGATTGTGTTAATGCATGTGCCGCATTCGTCGAAAGTCAGTTAACTCTGGATAAAATGTGTTGGGGCTATCATTTGGCCATATTTCTCAAGAACAAACAAATTATCGAGTTCTGTGAGAAGAACATTAGCGAATCATCGAAGGAAATCGTCGCGTCGTATGGATTTCGTCGATATGACGAGGAAACACTGAGAAACATTCTTCGATTGAATTTGGCATGCAGAGAGACCAATGTTTTCAACGCTTGTGTGGAATGGGCCAAGAATGCTTGCAAAGAAGATGGTCTGGATGTACAGATTTACCGGCATTACTTTTGCAAAAAATTGTTCGGGCCATAATAACAGCAATTGTTATATATTTCATGATATTATAGTTCAAGGTTTCTCAGTTTTTGATGCGAAATCGATTGATAGTTTCAGTTTGCTTTTGCGATGAGCGGTTTTGAAAATTTTACTAAATTTAATTTAAAGTAACATGTTACTGTAACACATTACTTTTTAACATAACTTTGGAGAATTTAAAAAAAAAAAAAAAAAAAAAAAAAAAAAACAAACCAATAGAAGTAAAAACTAGAGTTATCATTTGATTCGTGACAAAAAATGAAACACAATCCATATATTCAAAGTTGTATATGGATATATTTATTTGTATATATTTGTTGAAAATATTCCGTTACAATTGTAATGCCGGTAAATCTATATCTGGATGAAAACCGATTGGAAAACGTAAAAACCCAGCTCGGCGATAATTTCAAATCGATCCCATTTGGCGATATGTCGATTGGAGAATTCATTGAAATCCACACGTCGTTCAAAGACTTATTCACACCGGAGGAATTCCAAGACATCATGCTCCAGATAACAAGCACTGAATATGAGTCGAAACTATTCAAGCAAATTCCTCGTTCATACACATGGGATAGTGCCAAAGTATTGCAATGTGACCGAGTAAACGCAACCAACACAGCTAGAAACATTGAATGTATCGAAATCAACCAATTCTATTGGGAGAAATTTATACCAGTCGGACATATTATAGCGGAGCGTATATAACCGGCCATGAGGCAGATGTTGCTATTGTCCAACTCGAAGATTACACTTCCCAATCAAATGTTTTCTCGAAAGAACTTTACAAGGGAACATTCAACACATGGAATAACAATCAGCTAAAGATGGTTTTGCCCGAACCCATTTCGATCAAACCTCATATCATTTATGAAATTCAGGTGACTAAAATGAGGCCAGGTTATAAATACAACGCAAGCTTGAGACCAAAAGTGGAGCTCATAAATGGAATTGAAATT